GATGTCTTCACACTTTTCTCACAGATTAAAGCATACCATAAAAGCTAATCACACAATTTTTTTATTTGATTATCACGAACAATATCTTGATAACTGCCGTACAACTCCTAGAGACAAACATCAAAACACCCAAAAACAGAGACCATCAATCGAAGACGAGAATAAAAAAGAAGATGAAACAAAAAATAAAAGATGGTGATGTCTTCACACTTTTCTCACAGATTAAAGCATAATATAAAAGCTAATCACAGAGTTTTTTTATTTGATTATCACGAGCAATATTCTGAAAACTGTCAGTACAAGTCCTAGAGACAAACATCAAAACACCCAAAAAGAGACCATCAATCGAAGATGAGAATGAAAAAGAAGGTTAAAAAAAAACAAGATGGTGATGTCTTCATACTTTTCTCACAGATTAAAGCATACCATAAAAACTAATCACACAGTTTTTTTTATTTAATTATTACGAGCAATATTCTGAAAACTGTCGTACAACTCATAGAGAAAAACATCAAAACACCCAAAAGCAGAGACCATCAAATGAAGATGAGAATGAAAAAAAGGTTAAAAAAAATCAAAAAAGATGTGCGGTGAATGAAGATGCACGGTGACACCTGTGTAGTAGTTTTTGCCTTGGTTTCCAAGGGAAGAGAAGAATCCCATATATAACGAACTTTTACAAATATCACCTTACTGGATTTTATTTTATTTTCGTTACATGGGATATACGCATCTATGAACGTCAGTCCAAATTGGCCGCTTCTGGTGGTAGTCTATATGGTTTTGAGTTTTTGGAAGCAGATCTATGATCTAGATCGCCGGATCTGGAGTATGTGACTTTCCTTGTTGTTCGGTGTTTTTATCGACGGTGTGCCTTACTAGGTAGAAAATTTCTAAGCTTCTCATGCTTCTCAGTTGCTGATCTTTTGGAGTTCCTCTGGTTTCTCCGAATCAAACTGACTTGTGTTGGCCCTAGGCCTAGTTGGCCGTACTAGAAGACTGACATACCACGAAGCGATGAACGTTCGCGGACCAAACACCATCAATTTTCATATCAAAATTATATTGTTGGATTCTGAGCTGCTACGTCAGCGGATGTTTATGATAATGGTACAAAACTGTCCTTGGATTTTCCTAAATTTCTAACTTAAAATTAATTGGCAATAAATGAATTGATCTAAGCTTTTTATATATTATTCAGGATCTCTTTCAAGATATTCTTACAATTATAACTTTTTTCTCTAAGAACGTAACTTCCAGTATAAAATATTTTCACAATTATAGAACTTCATTGTTCGTAGTGGAAAATTAGAAAAACCAAAAATTATTTAAGATTGAACTAGTAATTATTTAAGGCTTTTCAGGTTTTCGTTACTTTTCAAATGTAGGTGTATCGCTGGTTAGTTATCCAATTTTCAGACCAAAATTGGTCAATTAGCTAATTCACTCCTACTTTTATTACCTTATATCTCAGATAAATCATTGGATACAATCATACAAATTCTAAAGCTGAATAGCTCAACAATATTTTAGAATCTACATAAAATTAAACTTAAAAAAAGTCGAGTAGACATGGAATCTGAAAACATGAGAGCAACACACTAAACAAGTGGGATCAAAAATACTTTAACTATGGCTAATAGCAAGAAATTAATTATAGTAGGGTTATAAAGTTCTTTGTGTGTCGGCCGTTGACTTGACCTCGTATGGATCGTAGATTTGATAACTACTCTCTCTGTTTATTATAGTTGATTTTCATAGGTTTTTTTTCATGTTTCATAATATTTAATTTTCTATATCTAATTAATGCATATATTTTTTTTAAGTTGAATGAATCATATTTATGCATGTTACTTTACAAAACTTATTAATTATAAGCATTAATTAAAAGAGAGGAGATGAAAAGCCCAAGTTAAAGTAAAAACCAGTAATACTAATAAAAGTAATGAAATTAATTGTAAAAATAACCTAATTAAACAAAATAAACAGCAAATAATTGAGCATTTATAACTTTCTTAATCTGTGTGCAAATATTCAGAAAATCAACTATAATGAAACAGAGAAAGAGTACTATACATTCGACTTTTCGATCAACGCTTTTCTATTTTGGTTTTTTTTTTATCAAGAACATATGGTAAAAATGCTGGATTTATATGTCATACAGCATTCAAATTTTGGATTTTATCACGGTTTTGATTCAGTATTCGTGGGAGCTTGTCTATACAAGAACGAATTAAAATAAATTGACACTGTCGTACGTGGGAAGTAAATGGGTGGCACGATCTTTTAACCTTTACTTATTTCTTGCTTTAAGCTATGTCGAGCAATTTCTTTTTAATAGAAGAAATGAAATTGGAGAGCATGTCGTAAGAGCAATTTCTTCTAGGCAACTTGTTTTTTATTTATTTTTCTTTTGTGCTGAAGAACTTGTTTTTTTCTTTATCTTATCACATAGTTTACTAATTAAAAATAGTAACATCAGTTTACTTACATTACATACAAAACAAATTTAGTTTGGTTTGGTGCAAGAAGGAACACATAGCAAAATGGTTTCTTTAAAAAATTTTTTTCAAAAAACGCTAGCAAACAGTTGTAAAAGAGTTCTTTTTTTCTTTGAATATAATTTAATATTTTATTAAAAAAAAAACAATCAGTTACCTATCATATATGGGTGATCTAATTTATATAGTACACAGAGAATTGTGACAGTTTCTATTTTTCTTTTTTTGGGTCAACTAGGAAGGACTAAGGAGATCTAAAACATCTAAAATAGTTGAATCTACGAACTGCAATAGTTTGCTTTTGAAAATCTGAATTAGCCTAATCTTTATATCTACGAAGATACGTAATATACTCCCAATAGTTTGCTTTCATATTTGAATCTAAACCTAATCTTTGAAGAAATTTTTATATTTCACGAGTTAAAATCAAGAAGACATTTAAATATGTAGAGGTCACTGTCCACTTGTTTGAGAAAATGAGATAAAAATAGTTAGAAACAACCCATAAAGTCGTATAAAATTACACAACTGATATGGAGATGCTTTGGAATATGACTCAAATATTAAGGTGAAAAAATTTATGTTACCGGAGTGGAAAAAACACATGCTCATGTTGTTTACAGATTTTATTTTTGGTTCTAAGGTTTCTATGAATCTAAATTAATTTTGAAGATTCTATTAAATATTCATGAATAAAATGTATGTTTATGTAATCGTTATAAGTCTTTATAGATTTTGGTATACCATTTTACCACATTTTAATTATGACAGTCCTTTAACAAAAAAATAAATTAATTATGATAGTCATAATTTATAATATTTTCAAATTTTCATGTGTTTACATTTTAAAGTGATTTTTCACTACATATTACAGGCATGTCAAATAAATAGCTACGAACATCATTAATATATTAAATTCATTTTTTTCATAAACGTTTTGTGATTATTTTTTTATATTCACATTAAATATTTCCATTAGTCGATCATTTAACTATTATGCTTTTTCAATATTTGTATAACGTTAGTCAATCCCATTATGTTTATGTCTAAATATAATACAAAAATAATGAAGTGTTTCATCAGACTCTAGACTTTGGTATATTCTTGCAACAAAAAAAAGAGACTTTGTAGAAATTATGTTAGAATTTGATGAAGGACAAACAATCGTACGCGCCTTCTTTTGACTGGACACCAAATTAACCAACCAACTAATTGACGATGACTCAGAGAGATGAAAATTGAAACCGAACCAAACCGAATTGACTCAAACCAAATTAAAAACTTGTCAACGTAAATCTGAATCAAATTTCATATCAACCAAAGGATAATAATATCTGTTATAGCAAATGAAGAGAACCGATCCAATCTTCTATTCAACCGAATCAAAATTCACAAGAAACTTTCTATTAATAATTAATAGATAGAAAAATGTATTTAATTATATACCAAATATTGTATATAATATCAATAATTAATGCTAGGGCTGGAATTATTATCCGGTATCCGCTATCCGATCCGGTATCCGATCTTATCCGATCCGTAAAAACCGGATATTCGTGTAGTTTGGATCCGGATCCGGATAGTGAAATTAAGTATTCGGTTATTTCGGATACGGATCCGGATAATAAAAAATTTTAAAATCGGATATTTATTATCCGTTATCCGTTTATTAAGATTTTGAAAATTTTGAAATCTTTGGATATGCATTTAATTTTTTGTTTTAATTATGTTTGAAAAATGTTTTTGGTTTAACTCTTTTACACATGATTGAAATTTATATTGCATGAAAGAGAAGACCATGAAAATAGAAAACACAAGGATATGAAAATAAATTAACTTCTCTATTACTATTTTCTCTTTTGCTATGTAAACTTTTAAACTTTGTGTTATTTGAATGCTACTTGAATGCTTTTAAATTTTTGGTATTTGTAATTTTTGCTATAATGATACATTTTAATTATATATGTTATCTCGTTATAATTTTAAAAATTGAAGTTTTTATTTTAAATCAACGAAACCGGATATCCGATCGGATATCCATAAATCTTCGGTTCACACCGGATATTCGGTCTCCGGATATCCGGAGTTTTCGGATCCGGATCCGGATAATAAAATTGATTATCCGTCAAATTCGGAGCCGGATCCGGATACTTTGAAAAGTCCGGATATCCGGCTCCGTTCCATATGCACCGATTAACATGAACAACCGAACTACCTTTTTTATAATCCAAAACCAAATTAACATGAACCAGATCCGAAATGAACCGAACAAAGCCAAAACCCAAAATAAGATTTAAACGAAATGAAATGAACGAACCGAACCAAACCAAAAGTGTATCTTAACGTAGTTTTCAAACACACGCGGTCTCATGGCGCGTGCTTGAGTATAATACAATCACAACTAGCCAATTATAAAATTACACGTTGTTGAGTAGTATTGTATAATAAATATAATAAATCGTATATTCCTCTACCTCAAAAGTTTACTTCTCCTGGTTTTTGAACCGAAGAGACAGGCTTCTTCTTCTTCGTCGTCGTCGTCGTCTTCTTCTTCTTCTGTGTACATACATATCTTCATTTTATAGAGAGAGCAAGAGACCGAAACAGAGAGGAAGAGAGATCAGAAGAAATAGAAGAAGAAACGAAATCGTGAAAAGGGGGAAATTATAGAAGAAATTGAAATTACCCAGAAGGAAACGTTTAAATGCGTGCATAGATATAGATACATATTCTCCGGGAGTTCTATATACGTTTCATCGACTGCGTAGCTCTCAGTTTTTCGTTCTCTGAGAGTTGGGATTTTTCCCGTCGATTTTTTCCCCCCTCTAGATCTTTGGGTGGAAACAAACAAGCTCGCGTAGACGAAAAATTTCAGGTTCAATTTCTTCTCGGCATTTTTTATTCTTCGATTTTGGATTTTGTGCGGACGATGAATTAGCTTTAGAAGAGATCAGATTTGGTTTATGATTTGAAAATTATATTTCGATTTCGCTTTGTTCTGATAATTTCTGGAACCATTTGTGGATATTGTTGAGTGCGATGTTTTCCCTGAAGCAATGCGCGTAACTGTGTGTAGGCTTATGATTGAATTGGTTATTAGAAAGCTGTGACGATGATTTTGACTTTTCTTAGTTTGTGGATATAGCTACGACTTGATTGTTGTACTAATTTGAAATTGTCAATTTAGTTTCTCTTAAATGTTTGATTCTTTCATGTTATGCTTATTGTATATAAGTTTGGTGGTTTATTTTTGATTCTTATATCTGTTAAAAGGAAACTGAGAGAAAAAGGTGAAACTGTGTGTTTTCTCTCAAGTATAGGAACATAACATAAAGAAATGATCTTTTTCAAGAATCTAGCTTTCTCAATCTGAGTTTCACACTTATGGTTTGATTCATTTGTATTGCTTTTCGTTTCTTATGTTGGCCAATTAGAGACACAATCAAACGAAGAATAATTTTAAATCTTGATCTGGTTTACTTTTCAGAGTTGTATCTTATGATGCTCTTCTTCGTTTTCTCGTCTTTCATACATGGGTTTTTACATGTAAATTTTAGGTTTCGACCGGTTCTAAGTGGAATTTCTCGTTTTAGCTGAAGAAACTTATTCCTCCAGATTTGAACAGTGTTTTATTAGAAAGCTGTGACGATGATTTTGACTTTTCTTAGTTTGTGGATATAGCTACGACTTGATTGTTGTACTAATTTTAAATTGTCAATTTAGTTTCTCTTAAATGTTTGATTCTTTCATGTTATGCTTATTGTATATAAGTTTGGTGGTTTATTTTGACTCTTATATCTGTTAAAGGAAACTGAGAGAAAAGGTGGAATTTTGTGTTTTTCTCTCAAGTATAGGAGCATAACATAAAGAAATGATCTTCTTCAAGAATCTAGCTTTTTCAATCTACACTTATGGTTTAATTCATTTGTATTGCTTTTTGTTTCTTATGTTGGCCAATTAGAGACACAATCAAACGAAGAATAATGTTAAATCTTGATCTGGTTTACTTCTCAGAGTTGTATCTTATGATGCTCTTCTTCGTTTTTTCGTCTTTCATATATGGGTTTTTAAATTTCAGGTTTCGACCGGTTCTAAGTGGAATTTTCTCGTTTTAGCTGAAGAAACTTATTCCTCCAGATTTGAACAGTGTGTTGAAGAATATTTGAGGTTGAGGTGTTGCAGTATGCAATAAACGTTGCTTTTTATGAGATGAAGGCAATTAAGGGGTGGCGTCTAGGTAGAACCAATTATATGCAGTCTTTGCCTGGGGCTCGCCACCGTGCTCCGACAAGGAAGCCAGTATGGATCATCGCATTGGTTTCGTTGATAACAATGTTTGTGATTGGTGCTTACATGTTCCCTCATCACAGAAAAGCTGCTTGTTATATGTTTTCTTCTAAAGGATGCAAAGGGCTTACTGATTGGCTTCCACCCTCGCCGAGGGAATTTTCGGATGACGAGATTGCTGCTCGTGTAGTGATTAGTGAAATACTGAACTCCCCTCGTGTTATAAAAAAGAGTTCTAAAATTGCATTTATGTTCTTAACTCCGGGTACATTGCCTTTTGAAAAGCTCTGGGACCTCTTTTTCCAGGTAGACTTCATCTCTTCCCAACTTCTTTATTCCCGTATCAACTGTCTCAGTGGTTTCCTTCTGGCTAAGAAGATGCTGATGATAGAAAGTACAATGAACTCATTATAAGTTTATGCTGTTTGACAATTCTTCAAAATTTTAGACTTTGCCTGGAAAATTGTTAAACATCTTAGACGCAGCATATTAAGGTGGCAAAATACTGAGATGTGCCTTATGAACCACTTGCAATATATTTAGGATCTCTGTGTTGATGTGATTCCTTCGTCTACTTATTTCTTTCACTGACGTTTTTTGTGCTTTTATCCTTCCTCGCAGGGCCATGAGGGGAAATTTTCTGTGTACATCCATGCATCAAAGGATACGCCGGTTCACACCAGTCGTTACTTTGTAAACCGTGAAATTCGAAGTGATGAGGTCTGTCTCTGTCTGATGTCTATATTTTTAGATATCATATCATTTCTCACTATGTCATGAATCATGATAAGAAACACTATAGGTCTGGGATTTTTTTTTGGTTAAAAACTATAGGATTGGAATGACTGCATTTAGTTGGTGGATGTATCATGAATTTCTTTTGCTTCTGTAATAGTTTCCATGATTGTGGTAAGTGAATCATATGCGTGTATCATGTTTTCTGAAGGTGGTCTGGGGTAGAATTTCAATGATTGACGCCGAGAGACGTTTGTTGACCAATGCTCTTAGAGATCCTGAAAATCAGCAATTTGTTTTACTCTCTGATAGGTAATCTCTCAGTAACTTTACTTCTCTTCTCACTGATTATTCTTAGGTTGCCCAAACCAACTCGATTTCTTGGTTTTGCAGTTGTGTGCCACTTAGAAGTTTTGAATACATGTACAACTATATGATGTACAGCAACGTCAGCTATGTTGACTGGTAAAGTCATTTTTTCAAGTTGATGAGATTTCAGAACTATAATTACACATGTTGCCAGATTTCTTCCCAACTTCTCTATACTAATATACGAATTTCTCTTACTCTTCAGCTTTGACGATCCTGGTCCACATGGAACCGGCAGGCATATGGATCACATGTTGCCGGAGATTCCAAAGGAAGATTTTCGAAAGGGTGCACAGGTAAAAACTATTACGCTGGTCCAGTATTATTCTTGCCTCATACTCAATGCGTGATACTTAAAATACTAAGGGTCTGATACTTAAGACAGTTCTGTGTCATTGTTGGAACTGGTTGATACGAAAACAGGTTGAAAGTATGACTCTCTGTGGACTAGTTAATAACATGTATGCACCAACTTACATTCGTATTTAGGAAATGGATTTTTTTTTTTGAAACCCAGATTTTTCCCTGCTTGGTTTTAAGGAGGTTTATTAATATCATTCAATTTATTTAACACATTTGATCTGCATATTTGGTTCCATTCGTCATTATTGGGAAGCGTTTTGATCAAGTGTGGGTACAATAATTGGCATGAGATAGTCTTTCAACAAGTTTTCATCTCAGTTATTTCTATATCCGTGCAGTGGTTCTCCATGAAGCGTCAGCATGCTGTCATAACTATGGCAGACAGTCTATACTACTCCAAATTCCGAGACTACTGTGGGGTGAGTATGACCTAAACCTCAAAATAGATGTTTATTTTACCTTCTTTGCTCAATTTTATGGAGGCGTTACTATCTAGATCTATGAAAATAACCACACATTAACAGTAAGGTTCTTGTTTTTTCTCCAGCCAGGTATAGAGGGCAATAAGAACTGCATCGCGGATGAACACTACTTGCCAACATTTTTCTATGTGAGAATCCGTATAGACTCTTTAGATAGAAGAAATTGTTTCATTTCTTCTGTACATTATATCTATAATATACTTTGGTGTGATAAATTTCTCAGATGCTTGACCCTGGTGGTATTGCTAACTGGACTGTGACATATGTTGATTGGTCTGAGAAAAAGTGGCATCCAAGAACATACATGCCCGAAGATATTACGCACAAGTTACTGAAGAACCTCACGGTATTACCACTAAACTGCTATGGTCTCCTCAAAATCTTCCTTGACTATTCCCTTACTTGCTTCCATTGAGATAATTAATTGGTATTTCCTTTTGATCCATTTGCAGTCCATTGACGCAGTTTCACGCGTAACAAGTGAGGGAACGGTACACTCTTCAGAACCAATTCATCTCCACTTGTAATCAGTTGTAAATTTACCGGTTTTTTTTTCCTTTACGGAGATCATAATTCTCCTTCTTAATGTCTGCAAACACAGGGTGAAGTAACATGGGTACCTTGCATGTGGAACGGAATCAAAAGACCTTGCTATCTCTTTGGAAGGAAATTCCACGCAAGTACTCTCGATAAACTGATCAACCTCTTTTCAAACTACACAATCATCTCATAAACCAGGCTTTTGGATTGATCGATGAAATACAATGCAAAGGAGGTATTCTTTTGGACTCGGATTCTTTGACCAACGTCCCATCATACTCTAAGGAATCAAAGTAAAACTTGAGAGGAAATATCATGGAATCCATAGAAGATGTAACTCGCTGCAAAAGTCCATTTAAGTGCAGAGAAAAAATTGTTGTGATCTTGAGAAGCATAGGAAGTTTTTGGAGGTTTTCCCTTTGCTTGGGGACGTTGGGACATTTTTTAACTCATCTGTTTTCTGTTTATAGAATTTTCAGAGTGCCTTTTGTTTCTCTCTTTTTGGTGGAACTCTTTTGTTGGAATTGGTAATGAATCTATAAAAATAGAAAAGACAGAGGTTTATAGTATACAGTTTTAAGCTGAGCATTTGAATCATATCTCACTGAAACTCCAAAAAGTGAGAGTTTCATATATCAAACACTAATTATACAAACTGCTACTATTAAGCAATTTTCCTTTCTTTTTCTTTCAGACAGAATTCTCTAGAACTACATTCTTATTACTGCATATTACAAAAAAATAATATTACAAACACAACACACATTTGTTCATCGCCGGTGTCCAAGAGCAACCACCGGAATCCTCACCTTATGCCCTCGGCTACCTTTCAACTTCACCTCCCCGAAGCTGTATACTCCAGAAACCGATCTCACGGTCAGAGTAACCGAGAAACTTCTAGAAGCGCCAGGTCTGAGAGTCATTGCTGGTGGGTTCACTTCAATGGCAGTAGATGGCTGCATCCTAGCTGTTATTGTGTATGTTTCTTCTACCTCTCCCACATTCGTCACTCTCCTTGTTACTGTCTGTGTCCCCACAAGGTGAGAAATGGCTATAGATGGTGCATTGAAGTTTGAAGGATGTTTCATATCATAGTTACAAGGCGTGTTGGTGTAGTTTCTTATTTCGTGGGCATCGATCCCTGGTGTTGTGCACAAGAATCCTAGATAGTCCTCATAGCCTACAATGACAAAATTGATCAGTCTTCTCAGCTAGAGATCAAAGATAGTTTCTTTTTTTGACATTTTTGAAGAAACAGAGCAACTAAGTACCTGCATCAAAGATAAGACCAGGATCTAGAGCAGCACTTGGATTGACATGACCACTTCCGTAATCAAAAGGAGTGGCTTTAACAAACGTTACAGTCTCTGTGTCTGAATATTGCTGCGCTTGAAGAGGCCTTCCTGCTCTATCTATGACTGTTGAGGTAGTCATCAAAGCTGATTTGATAGCAGCTGGACTCCATTGAGGATGCTTCTGCTTCACAAGCGCAGCTAATCCGGCTATATGTGGTGCAGCCATGCTGGTTCCTGATATTAGTGCAAATCCTTCACCTGCACAAGAGCGCCCCAAGAGTAAGAAACTTCACTTCTGTTCAAAAGAATCTCTACATGTTAACTTCAGTACGTTGGAATGCATACCGACATAGTTAGGCTCGTCTGTTCCATTTGGACACCAAGCAGCCCATATTAGATAACCGGGTGCAAGAATATCCGGTTTTAGAAGATCAGCATCTTGAAAGCTGAAATCTTTGGTATTGGGTCCTCTAGCTGAGAACAATGCCACTTGAGGTGCTGATTTGTGAAGAACAGGTGTTAAACCATCTCCGATGCTTCCCTCGGCTTTAAAGCTTTTTACTCTCCCTGTCCAGTCTCTTAATGTACTGACGTTGTAGTAATCGATCAAATCCTAAAGATTGGAAAAATAAGGAAATTTCAGATTTGAGAAATTAGGCTTGAGAGTAAGTGAAAACTTTCGAAACTGCCATTACCATTGACTTGGACACATCTGTAATCAGAATTCCTGGAATGGCAGAAGGAACGGGATCGAACTTTGTTCCTGGAGAAACATTTTCAACGACAAGAACAAAACCAGCAGCTCCGAGATGCTTTGCGGTTTCAACAACTTTCTTGATGGAAGCTGTACCAACAACGAAGTTGAAAGAATATCCACAGAGAAGAATCTTTCCTTGAACCAGTTTCTTGTTCAAGACTTCTGGTCTCTGGCAATCAGATGGATTATACTTCGAAACAGATGAATCAAGCAGAACATCATTTGCAGAAACCAAAGTGTACAGCTTATGAGGCCGAGTTGATGCTGCAAAAAAACACACATAACAATGATTGAAATACATCAAATATTGAAACTCGGTTAAATGTAAATAACATTAATATGTTTGTTCTTACGGGATAATCCCATCCCAGCCAGCATTTTTCCATTTCCGAGTGTCAGATGATTTTTGTATCTGCGATCATCGATTGCAGCGGCGACAGTAGTTATCCAGGGGCTATATGAAACCAAAGTTTTTGGAAATGGGCCTCCGTTTCCAGCAGCTTGAGCTACGAACACACCAGCTTTTACGGCTCCAAGAAGTGTTGCATCGAATGGATTCAAGAATGTTGTCTTGGTAGTTGTTGGAGGACTGTTTGGACCAACCGAGAGGCTCAGGATATCAACTCCATCATGAACAGCCTGCTCATGAAAATATGTAGTTAGAACAACAATACAATAAAGAATATGCAGCTGGAGAAACCATTTCCTCTAAGATTCTAATGTACGTTAAAGATATTTATGTTCCACTAAGTTGTGATCAGTCCATTCCAACTTGTGATCAGTCTATTCTAACTTGTGATCAGTTCTTACTCTTACCTGATCAATCGCAGCAACTACATCAGCAACAAAGCCTCCAAAAAGACGGTAAAGAGCCTTGTAAACAGCAATCCTGAAAGAAATGACCCTTTTAGCAAATGGAGGAGAAGAAAACAAACTGTCATTGAAACTGCAATTTTGCATTATCTACCTACCTTGCACGAGGAGCCATCCCACTTGCTTTTCCGAATTCATAACCGTGCATTCTCAACGGAATACCATTATTCCCAGCTGCTATAGCAGCTGTATGACTGAAAATCCAAAGAGACAAAAGGAATCAGATTTGCTTAGTACAGTGATCCTAGGTCCTGAGGACAGGAACAAAGTTATAAAGATAAACCTTCCGTGGCCATCGCCATCCATTGGTGATGCATAGTCGATATCCGGGTTAAATGCACCAGCAGCTTTAGCAGCTTCAGCAAAATGCTGGGCTCCAACAATCTTCCTGTTGCAGAAGCTCTTCTTGGTATGAGGATCTTCTTCACATTTCCCTTTGTAATGAGGAAGAGGGCCATAAGGTAATCTGTGGTGAGATGCAAAGCTCGGGTGATGCGGATATATCCCCGAGTCAACAAATCCGATAACAATATCTTCTCCTGCTCTATCAAAACCACCACCTGTCGGCCAAACATCAGTTGGAAGTCCCAGAAACTCTGGTGTATGTGTGGTGAGTCTCCTCACTTTCCAATCTTTGTTAACAGATTTCACACCGGGGGCTCGGCGTAGTGTTTCTGCCTACCAAATATAGTGGATTAGTGTAAGAGAACACAGAATAAAGAAGTTCGTAATTAATGATCTCAAATATATTTTCCACCTGCTCAGGAGAAACATGAGCTGCAAATCCATTTATAAGGTGTTTATAGCTGTAAAGTTTTTTGTATGATCCTTCTTCAAAGAGCATCCCAAGAATCATATCGTGCTTCCTCTCTAAGTGACGAGCATACAATGTCACCAATTCACTGGAAATGTAACAGATTGTTAATCTAGGGAGCAATGCATAGACGATTCTTTAGTGATCCAGATGTTGTTACTATTGCAATTGAAGATCTAAATACCTTGATGTATCAATCTTCTCATCAGATTCGACAGCAGTTGCTTCGAAACCATTTTCTCCACCTTTGTAACTTATGATTGGATCTCCTTCCATAGTCACAATGTAAACCTCTGCTGTCACAGTGACAAGAAGTGCGGAAACGACAAAAAATCTGAACCTGACATCCATATTAGTTCGTACAAACGAAGCTCCAACTTAAATCTTGCTGTATATTCAACTGCAGCATCAAAATCAAATGAATGCATTAGCAACCTGAGACCGATACCACTATCACTGGAAACTATCACTTCACTTAAACCACATAGATATTCAAACAAAAATAAGACTAATCATCTAATCTCACACACTCTTCTCAGAGAGCTAAGGACCTAGTTGTAGTCTATAAGGACTAAACTATCTCACAGAATAGACAAACACATAATCAAGTTACTATATAGAGACTCAAGGATCATCTTCAGGGCCAAGTACTTGCAGGTCAGGAACACTTAAACGGAAAATCCAATGGAATTGTAACAAGGAATCATCTTTCTCGCTGCACTTGTCAAGAACTAAACACATATGGAGCATTACCAAATCCAATCAACCCCAAAGAAAAGAAACTGAAACCTGAATCATAGCTTGAAGAAAAATAACCTATAGTTTCTAGTACTTACTCCAGAGAAATTTGCCTAAACAAATTAATCAAGTAAAGAAAGTTCAGCTCCATGTTATGCCATTTATATAAAAGAAGCTAGAAACCGCAAACAGTAAGTACAGTATAACAACTATTGCTCTTCAATTAATGAGACAAACAAAGAAGAGGAAAAAGAAGAAAGAATCTTTAGCCTCTTAAGCCTACATTTTCGTCAATTAAAATTAGCAAATCTCAAAAATATCAAGAGTAAGAATAACCCACTTTCACAAATCATCCAAGCAAAGAATAAAACCCAGACAAATCAAAAGTGTGTCTACATTTATCCTCACACACAAAAAAAAAGAAAGATCCTGTTAGAAAAGAAAAACTGTAGCTTCAATAGAGTAAAAGCCAAAAAGCCAATAATGTGTACGAACTTACATTTTGCTTCACGAGACGAATTGAGACAGAACAAACCAACAAAAAAAGGTAGCTTTTTGAGACGAAACGATTGAAATCAAACCAAAAGATTAGAAATTTAGTCACTACATAAATCACATTTGCAGAATAAAAAAAACAATGAAGAAGCTGATTCAGATCTTTAATCGAGTGATTGAGAGAAATTTTGATTCTGAGTTTCTTCGTCCTCGTAGAATAGAGATCTAGCAAAGGATCAAAAAGAGAGAAAAAAGGAACTCGAGAGATTAGTAAAAAATAAAAAGAACTGTGATAAGTGATGAATGGAGTGTGAGTGGGTAGAAATGGAGAAGAAAAGGTCGTTAGGGTTAATATTTGCTTTATTTTTAAATAAAACTGCTATTTTCATTAAAAATGCTAAAGGAGACAACGAACCGAAGATGATGGCGACTATGATTGTTAATTAAATCGTAATTATTTTTCTGTAATGGTAAAATGTTAAGAAAAGTGTTTAGTGGATATAACTAAAATCCAATTTAGGCCTGTGTGGATTTTACGTATATATCCGATTGTCCGAAGGTGGGGAGGAAGGAGAGTGACCATTCGCGCGCGAGATTTGCTGTCAGTT